TGACTTCTTTTCCATTTTTCCCCATGCTCAAAGGAATAATTACGTGTCAGATAGGCGGCATATGTTAAATGTGTCAAACCTATAAGTAAATTTATTTGACTTGTGGATTCTTATAAATTCCATGCTGTGCTTTGAATGTAATATATGAGGCTGGGTCAAAAGGATAACTGAATCATTGTGAATATTTAGATTCACAGAGACGGATAAAGTTGCTTTATATTTCTTCTCATAACTCTCTTCAACATTCTAAGAAGATATGAGCAAATTATAATCTAAATGTCAAATTCCTGCCTCACTGAAGGAAAAACGCATGCGGAGACCAGAAGTTCTTTTAAGGACAGGTTGAAACGACATTCGGGTACCATCTGTGATAATACCCTACCAAAACTATGCAGAGTACAAGAGAGAGAGAGAGAGAGAGAGAGAGAGAGAGAGAGAGAGAGAGAGAGAGAGAGAGAGAGAGAGAGAGAGAGAGAGAGAGAGAGAGAGAGAGAGAGAGAGATCAAGTAACTTTAGATTCAGTTCAGCTCTCTTTTTTGTCTATATCTCCTTTACTGCCAAATTGAAATGTCATATGTGTGGTTGTGATTTCTGGGTTTTGATCTCGAGCCCAAATATATTTAACATACTAGGTGTTCTCTTGAGAATACATGACCTGGCGTTAAGAATAAGGGGACACTGCCTGCATGATCTGGATCGAAGCCGCCAAAGACCTTTTGCAGAGAATCTGACGTAAATACAACCAGCCTGGAGCATGACCAAGTGTGATGCACTCCTCGACAGCTAATAAAGTAATGCATCTAAATTTCGATAGTTATTCATAATCCGGATCAGCACTGGAATCTATCAATCATCTACAATGGAAATATCGATTTGAAGGATGGATGGAGACTCAACACCAGCCCCACTGTAAAAGATGAAACGACCGGAACTTTTTCCATAATAATAGTTTTCTTTATAGTTCCAAGATTATACGTATGCGGGCGAAAAACTTACAACACGGGACCTTCCATTGGGCTCGTCACTTGGGGCCTCTTCAGGAGTTACGCCCCACTTGACGCTTGCCTACTTGTTTAAGGCCCCATTAAACTAGGCACGTGAAACTATATCCATGGCGCAGGCCGGTTAAGCAATATTTAAAGCCAGATACAAAGTGTAATCATCTGATAAAACCAAGTCGTAAATGTTGTCTGCATATGCCATCCCTCAACGATATTGATGTTTCAACTGCTAAAATGCTGTATACATTTACATTAAAATGCATCGTTAATTCCATTAGAGGGACAATGTGTTATCCATGATGTTACAGTAAAGACAAAGAATCAAATTTTACTAGAAACTTTAGAAAATCATGTTGATGTATTCAATCAAGTGATTATTTATTTAATCCAATAAATCAAGTGTGTACGTGATAACATTAAATCAAGTGGGTACGTGATAATACTAATTCAAGTGGGTAAGTGATAATATTAAATCAAGTAGGTACGTAATCCAATTAAATTATTAATGACAATATCAGACCTAGATAGAAGCTACATTATAAGTCTCAAATCTGAGAAAACCGAAAAATGTAGATTTTAATAGTAACACCAAAACAGCCGTGTCCAAATGTTATATATCATAATGTTACAGAACAATTGATTGGTCTGTCAAGTCTTACATGCACTTCCGGCAGATTCAAGAAACGTAACTGTCTTATTAATACAATAGATACCATTTATCCAAATTGTTTCTTCAATCTATAAATGGTAGCGACAGAAGACAAACAATATCAAATGATATGCTTAAATGAAAACAAAAGCGTTTTATGACTAGCTGACCAGTGGTCTGTGACCCACGAAAACAATGTTCTCCCAAGTTATTTTGCTGGGCAATTGTCTACACATTTATCGTAACATGGTATTTATTACAATATTAGTACCAATAATAATAATAATAATAATAATAATAATAATAATAATAATAATAATAATAATAATAATATTGTTATCAATTATAATTAGCACTAATATAGTGATTAATATCATCATGAAAACGTAGGTCAAGGCTAACAATTCCTAAGCACATACGAATATATAAATTCTACAGAGTAAACATCTCTAATGACCATTCAATCTAGTATATAAATGTAGATTTAAGTAATTTACAATCTGGTCCTTGCATGTCAAGAAATGTGTATTTTGTAACAACGGAACTCTGTAATGCTCAGAAACAAACATGTCTAGTAGGAATCGTGTCCTTATAACTGGCTTTGTACAATTACGGTTCCAAGTTTCATCCAGCTAAAATTCTATTTCACTATTACTCCATATATGTCTTGCTTTTTTATTGATATTATTGAAGAGGGGCGGCAGAGGAAATTTTGTTGAAACTGTGCAACATTGTTTTAATGATTTAGAAAATGTAGTTCAAGTGGTGAATAGTACTAATTTTCTCGGGGTGGTGGTGCTATTTTGTTAATTACTACTAAATGGAAATTTATCACTGGGTATTGAGAGAA